GATGCTTTGGCTTCTTTAATCCACTTAAGTTTGTCTTTACAAGTCAAATGTGTAAGTAGAGCTACAACTTGAAAAAAGTTCTTAATAAAGATTTGGTAATAATTGGTAAAGCTCAAAAAGAATTATACAACTTTTATTATTTTTGGAATCTTTCAATCCATGATAATTTAGACCTTCTTTGGATCTATTATAAGGCCTTTATTGAAAATAATATATCCCAAAAAATTAACTTGAGTAGCGTAGAATACACATTTTTTTTTATCTTTGCATGTAATCCTATATCTCTTAGTTTTTGTAATACACAACAAACATGAACTTCATGCTCTTTTGTATTCTTAGAATAGAATAAAATATCATTCAAATAACAAATGATAAAATCATCAAGAAATTTACGAGAGACAACATTCATTAGATGTTGGAAAGTAATTAGTACATTCATCAGTCTAAAAGGCATGACATTATATTCAAAATATCCGTATCTAGTTTAAAAAATAATTTTTTATTCATCTCTTTCTTTAATGAGGACCAAATTATATGCTCCTCATAGATCTATTTTTGTATAAATCTTTGCTTAATTTACTTGATCAAGAAATCATGAAATAAAAGATAGAGGATACTTATTTTTGATGGTAATCTTGTTAAGTCCTTGATAATCCATACACATTTGTAGAGATCTGTCTTTTTTCTTCACAAATAAGATAGGAGCAGTAGCTGGAGATTTAAAATGGCATATAAAATTCTTAATCAAGTTTTCATCAATGTAATCTTTGAGTATAGCCAACTCATTTTGCGATAGACTATAGATTGGTCCAAATGGTGGTTGATTTTCTTTTTGAAGATTGATGGTACAATCATAAAAATAATACTTTAAAAGAATATCTACATTTTTCTTTTCAAAAACGTCTTGGAAATCTTGCTATTGGTTAGGAATATCACTTAATATTGTCTCACCATCAAGAATAGATATGGCATATATAACAAAAGATGGCCCTTTATTTGCAGCATGCATAAAAGCTTTTGTACCTACCAATAAAGGTTTGGATATACTAAACTTATAGATTTCTACTTGCCTAATAGAACCTTGGACTAAACTATGGAAAAAATCGAGATTGCAAGAAATCTAATCTATGTGAGGGTTATATTTTTCTAACCATGATAATCCTAAAATAATTGGATTAGAAGGAAAATTAATTACATTAAATATTATTAAACTATTGTGACCACTATTTGCTACTTCTACATGAATAATTTCATGTGTAACATCTTCAGAAGATAATAAATGTCCATCTATTACTTCTACATACATGGGTTTGATTTTCTTAATTAATGATATATCTTATTTTTTGACAAAGTCTTCATCAATAAAATAAGTTGAGACTCTTGAATCCAACAATGTTAAGACTTTGTGATTTTTTGGTCCTAAACACACTTCTATTATAAAACAAGGTGAGGGAACAAAGGAGAGAATATAATCTTTACTAGATATTGCACATGATTCCAACTATAGTGTTCCTATTGTAGCTAGAGTAACTCATTTTCAACATTGTTCCAACAAATATTATAAGTAGTAATAGGATGCATTGCTTACTTTGAAAAAAGATAATAATTTCATTTGAGGAAATTATGACTTACCAATTGAAATAGTAGATGTGATTTATGTTGATGAATATGCAAAGCTATAAATTATTGAATAAACTAAGAATTCATATTTTTGTAAAAAATAGAGTCATGCCATTAAAGAAGAACTTAATTCCTTGAAAGTTCATATTACATGGAAATTTTTATTTTTATCCAATAATAAGAAGGTTATGGATTCAAAATAGATTTTTAAGAAAAAACTTATTAGTGATGGACCTATTGAGTATTTTAAAGCACAATTGATTGCAAAGGATTTTACTAAAATGAAGGATCTTGATTACTAAGAAACTTTTATATTAGTTGCTTGTCTTCCAATATTTTATATATTTATTACAACTGTTGCTATTCTTCATTGGAATATGTTGCAATTTAATATTATCTCAACTTATTTAAATGGTAAACTTAAAGAAGAAGACATCTATATAAAGATTCTAAAAAGATTGAAAGTTCCATTAAAATACAAAAGCAAGGTGCTGTAATTACTAAATACTTTATATAGTTTGAAGCAATATGGATGGAATGATAAGTTGAATAAATCTTTATTGAATCTTCATTGAAAGCACTAAAAATCAAATCCTTGTATGTACATAATGTATATTGAAAGACTAATCCTTGTACTAAATATCTATATTAATAACGTATTTATTGGTGATAATTACTTTGAGATCCTTGTGAAATATAAGGATGAATTGTAAGACTGCTATAAGATAAAAGACTCTTATGAACTTAATAATTTTTTTTTGCATTGATTTTTTATAATATAAGAAAAATTATACTATTAATTTGAGGCAAACTAAGTACATTGGTCAAAAGTTGGAAGAATTTGGGATGAAAGATCCAAAGGCAATTGCTACACTAATAATACAAGATTATTTTATTGAGCATGAGAATGATAATCTTTTAGAGATAGAAGGTGTAAAGCTTTATCAAAAGACTTTAGATTCATTATTGTACCTTACAAACGATACAAGGTATGACATTGCATTTGATTGTCAATACTTTGATTAATATATGGCACATCCATATGTTTTGCATTTGCAAGGAATTAAACAAATATTTTATTATTTGTAAGGAATAAAAGATTTGGTATTGTAGTATTGAAAAAAGGAAGGAAATTTGTAACTTGTCGATACAATGAAATAGGTGGAGCAAATTATGTAGAGATGCGCTTTTTAGTAGGAGGTTATGTATTTATATTGGGCAATGCAATCATCACTTAGTTATGTAAGAAGCAATCTTTAATTTTTGTTTTGTCAACAAATGTAGAATATACAGCTTTGGCTATTGCAGCAAAAAAGATTTTGTGGCTTTGCAAAGCATTCAGGGATTATGACATTCGTGAGTTAAAAAAGATCTGTATTTATGAAGATAACTAAAATGCCATTGCTATTGCCAAGAATCTAGCACACCATGGTCATACAAAGTATTGAGATATAAAACATCATTTTATTAGGCAATGTGTGGAGAAAGGACAAATTGGTTTGGAGCATTGTCCCACGAAGTAAATGGTGGCATATATCTTTACAAAACCTCTCTCTAGATATAAGTTTCTAACTTTCAAAGATATATTAGGTCTTATTTTAGTAGAGAACTAAGTTCCACTTCTGGAAGAGAAGTGTTGAGTATTTTATATTTTATATACCAAAAGTTGTGACTTATCCAATATACAATAAAGACCCCCAAGGTACTCCTTGTTTGGTTTCTGCCACATTCTTGTTTGCAAAAGAATGATATTCATCCAATTTTTGTAACAATATGTATGATTTGCAACTTTGGTGGATTTATTTGTTTTCACCATTAATGGTTGGTGATTATGTTTGAGGGAAAAAGAAAACACCTAACATGACACTTGTCAGATGTTGACTAGCCTGTCCTACTGTGATTTTTCAGCAGACTTGACTGTACCTTAGATTTGCGTGCGCTTGATAATTGATGCGAACTCTTAAAATTTATTCATTTTTATTTTAAAAAATTGATGATGTAACTCAATGCAAATATAAAATACCTGAGTGCTTTTCAACAATGATGTCATCAACAGCTTATGGAGGCGATAAATGGTGCAACGTAACACTTATCTGCTTCTTGCTGCTTTTGCCCACATTTTGATCCATGCTTAAGGTACACATGTGCAACAAGTATCAGATTCGACAGTAATCTTGCGAAAATAAGCAAATCTTCTTGAAGCATCATGCCACTACGCTTAGCATGAAGACCTTTGTGAGGTCAAAGATTCCAAGTGACATTAAACGGGGCCGGATATGGAGTTCAAAGGAAGTGCACAAGGTAGCTTTTTACAGTTTGTGCCGTGGTTTGCAGGATGAGTGACGCTTAGAACGATCAAAGTTACGTAGAATTCTCCTCGGACCACATGATAATTATTACATTGTGGGGTTTTGTGTTATGTTCTGCTGACCACTAGTGAAAGGTGAGGAGTCTCAATAATTCTCAACACCAACTTGGAACCAAGTTTTCAATATCTGAGACAGAATTTGAGTATGTCATGTACATATATATATATATATATATATATATATATTTTCCTGTCAAGAGAGTTCATTTATTTTCAACCAGTTTCAAGGAGTTCACGATTTATAACGTGGATAGCGTGTTCTAGATACTGAATCTGAAATCATGTTCAAATATCTGTGGAAGATTAGTGATGATGAATGTTCACGATGCTTACTTAAGTGATAATATTTAACTGTACTTAAAAATGTCCATTCTTCACGCAGTGCATGTCTTGGGTACTTCATCATCTCGCTCAGTGATGTGAAGTTCGAGATTGATTCCCCTGAAGAACATTCAAGACCACCTGGTGAATTTTACGATGATGCTCAAGAGGATAAGCATGCGATCTCCTTTAATGTCTGGGGTTGTTACTACGTAACGATATGTGCTTTTAGGTAATTCGACAGGATTAGTCTAACTAAATTTCACAAGTTTATTCAGAAGAATATTCTGAGGAATAGTGTTTTACCCACAGGGAAGTGGTGACATGCCGTTTATGGACCCAATATTTTCCAACTAACCAAAGTCCCAATTGTACTAAGTGTGAAAATTGTTTTCAAATTACATTAGCATTCATGGCTCCGAACTGAACATATGATCTGAGTTTTAATGTCGTTGCTACGAAGCGCTCGGTTGATTCGAACTGTTTGGTTAACAATTGGCCAGCAGATCCACATATAAACAAGGCAATTGTGATCGAATTTCTCCTCTTGTGGAGAATAAGCGATTATTCATAATCTCCGATGTGCAGCAAACCCTGTAGAGTCCCTTAATATGGAATGTTCACGACGTGTTCAACGGAGCTACGTAAAGATACCATAAGCAGAGTGGAAGGAAACTTTCGATGCAACAGGAAGAAATCTGAACTTACATCACTTACATCCAAAAGCATGATCTTTGAGGTAATCTAGATCACCTTTGCAATCAAAAGTGTCAAATGTACAAGTCTTAGTGTCCAAGCAGCGATGAAATTAACCAACACTGCCTTCTTACAATCTTCGAGGAAGCTAAGGGTTCTTGAACAGGAGCCCCGGTCCTCTGAGGCAGTCTATTGCCGAAGGGAGCCTAGCAATCCATTTCATTGAAGAAATTTCAGCAAGAGCACTGGTATAGGCGACCGCAGCGACCGGGAACTGGCGACGGAGACGGCCCAAATAGACGCTAGAACAACGGAAATTGTTGTTTCAGTGAAGGAACTTTGTCAAGCTTCCGATCAAAGAGGCCATAGCCATGAGTCTCAATTAGCCATGACACAGTGCGGCATCCGCAGACAAGACGGACGTAAACAGTGCACACCATTGCTGAAACAACGCGAGATTTCGACCATCATCTTCTCCTTGATCACCTTAACTCGCAGCGAGAAGGGCGGGTGTTTGCACGCCACCACGGCCCACGCCGCGGCCTTGAAGCGTGACAGAGGTTTCTTCATCTTTTCTGGAGATGCTTTGGATGCTTTTGGCGAGTCCGCTCTTGTGAAGGCATAGGAGCGCAAGTAGGCTTGCCGGCTGCCATAATCCCGAGGAGCAATATAAAATTCGTCATCCGAGAAATAGCATTTTGCTAAGGGCGAGAACGGTATCTCTATTAACCGAAACCCATCGGTTCTGTCTGCGTCGGATGTTCGCCTGGAAACATTCCCGAAGGACGACCGCTTCCCGTATGAGGTCATCGTCCCCACTCTCTCTCGAATTGCCCTAATCCCCTGCAATTACAGCAGCTGTAAGTCACTGAAGATTCATAGTCTCTGCGAGCACTGAACCATGAAAGGTGAAAACACATCAGCAAACAACTCTGTTAACAGCAATTGAGCAGACTCGCGTAATTCACAGATTCAGGATACTCCTCTTCACGCACTCGTGACCATTGAACAGACTGATGGCTACGTACAGCCACAAAATCGCTAACCCCGCGCTCAGAAGAGCAATCATTAGCAGATCTTTCAAGCAATCTCTCTTCCGAACGAGTATTATAAGTACGATCCAACAGGGCGACGAGCTAGCAGGGAACTCTACATGGTTTCCGGAATTGATCACGAGGCATGAAAAAGAACGATTCTCTCACCTCAGCTGGGGAGCTTGGTTAAAATTGATGAGCAGCAATTGTCCCAACACGTTCAAACCCCACGCACAAGTGCTCTCGACATCACTTCCGTAACGTTGCAGAGCCTTCACTATGAGAAAAGCTGCAAGGGAGTCCCACCACAACAGCATACTTCCAGGCGATGAAAGGGAGGCATGAATATGATTCGTATATCCTCATGTTAAAACTACCAAACCTCCTCACAAATTTTCCCTTCTCCCGAAACTGAAGGACGTTTCTGAAACGGTTGATGATTCATGAATTTCTGAACTACCGAAAACTGTCCGTTGATGAAGATGCGTCATTCGAAATTCCACCTCGGCGTATCACACAACGAAATGGCACATTCTTCACCAGCCGAAATTGGCAATTTCTACTTTAACAGGAAGAGTGGCATCTGTCGTTTCCATTCCAGCATTCTACAGACTGAGATAACCTCGCCATCCTCTTCATGTGGATGGCTGCCACTTAAACAATAGCATGAGAAGCGGTGAGTCCCTACCTCGTCAAGCAGGGCGTGGAGATAAGTCACCAAATCCACAAGAGGATGAACGCTAGCTACAAGAAGTACATGCCAACACCCATGGAGTGACAATTGCTTATGAAGGCTGCTAGATATGAATCCACTCGTATGGAATTGTGGAAATATTTTTACGCAGTTGCTAGTTTGCTTCGGTTAAAAGAGAATTTCTTTACTTTTCTTTTATGTCCTAGGACAGGGACATGACGTGGAATCCGACTGAGAGTGGTCCTCAATCTGAAGCCACCGGAACTGGAATGATAGGGAAGAAACACGCGTGGATGTCGTGACGCCGTGGTGCTGCATTTTGTTACAAGATGATGCTCAAGATTGAAGGCAGGCGATTGGCAACTCTGGAGGAATGAAAAGCTTTCGGATAAGCCTGGAGAAAAAAGTAATCTGCAATGGGGTCATTCCACAGGTTGCAACAAAAAACAAAGCAGGATAGATTTTTTTTTTCGAGGGGTCAGTTCGAGGCTCCAACTAAATCGAAGGTTTCTTCCCTTGCTCCCATGCAACAACGTCGTTGCTAACTGAGAGTTGTGAAATCGCTAATTTTTCCTTAGGTCACACCTCAAACCTTGAGACTCACAGTGCCACGTGGTACCGTTTTTGCACTGGAGTGTTGCGAAAGTCTTGGTGACCTAATACACCACAAATCTGCGCAGGAAAAGAAGTGTGGTGTCAGAATATTCTCGTAATAGTTGAGGGCGGCAGAGTCGACTCCCAAGAATCATGCATGAGCCTTGAATGCATGATCATTGTCCTTTGGGTTTTTCTCTCCCTGCCTTCTCCAATTCCTTTTGACTGCGTCTTCGGAAGGCCCAGCGCAACTACCATCGCTAACATAACTCGCTCATTCTCGCTTGCTGGACACGCGTTTCAAGGGCAAAACATACTGACAATTTCGGGAGCACACAGATCACCAGATAGAGCTTCGATCACCCTATCCACCCACCGCTCGGGGATCGGAAACGAGGGCATGAGTTTTAGCTGGAAACGTGGGTCCACGCCTTGATGTTCGCATCATCAAATCCAGAGGCACGGGGTAAGATTCACTGCAACAATCGGCAATCTAGATGGACGGTCTCATAGATTTTGGTCTGTAGCTTACAGCAATAAGGTTACCATTTCTTTCTTCATCATAGCCAGAAAAGCTGAGGTTCGCCACGCAAGAACTAGATATAGGGAATAAGAAGAGAATTTATTCATGACAATATGTGGAATCGAAATTCTAGGTGGGACTCTGATGATGCAGCAGTGTCATTGTAAAAGGTCTTCAATGTAGAGGGCAATGTGGATGGCACAATAGTTTAGCGCATTACAAAGATTCTTGTGCATTTAAAATTGCCTGACATACGCAATCAGCCGATAACTACCAGAAAGTTCCCTTTCTCCCTCTGTACTTTACAATCTCCAAGTGTTTCTTCAAGATTTTAATAAGCAAACTTTTCATTTGGTCTCTGCCGCGAAATCACTACGCGGTAAGATTCACTGCAACAATCGGCATCAGAAGACCAGTAAGGATATCGTTCATACAGATTGTTGAAAGAGCTTGTGAGGTCAATCTCGGTCCAGCGAAGTATCTCGCCTGTCTGTCTCTAACAATGAAGGATTGACGGCAGGCTATACGCTGCTCCTTTTGAAGCAGCTCCGAATCCGTCGTCACTAACAGGCAACAAGTCTGTGCAGATACGGCTCATGCAAAATCCGAGTAGTGTTTGTTGGTGGATGATGGTCCACCACAATTTGAAATACCTTGCATAAGGCTTTCAAGCTCTGATCTCAAACCTATTCACGGACCCGCCCGAATTACACACCATCCTGTACTTCGTTCAAAAAATCCGAAAATCGCTCGTAATGACAATTTCATCCGTGCATCAGTCCGAATGCTAAGTTATACCCTGTTTACAACCCGCACATCCTAGCAATACCTGCTGAGATATTACACATTGGAATCGAAGAGATTCTGCTTTATCACTAGAAAGATGTTCTCCAAGGGGAAGAACAGAAATGGCTACAACTTCATGACGCTGAGTTTATTTGCGTTACCACATTCATGACCTGTTCAAAGCATCATAACCTGGCACCGTGAGAAATTTCAAAGAAAGCCGAAAGAAACCTTTGAACACGACGATTCACCAGCTTGAGATCAGAAAATGGAGTTGAGATGTCCCGGGAAAAACATTTTTCTTAGAATGAGCACAAACCTCGAGTCTCTATAGCGAAGATGTGCCCCTGCGTCTAAACGGCTTTACATTTTGGATCCAAATTCAACGCAACAAAGATAATTAACGATAATTTAAAACCGTAGACCCTTTTATGAGAGACTTAAAGAAGAAATGCTGAGCCATTGCAGGACATGGGCCTAACATCCAGTCTGATTACAAGGGTCATGTTGAGAGCCGCCCTCTCCACCAGAAACATTGGAATTTATTTGTTCGATGTGCATGCGGAGGTTCGCTCTGTGGAGGTTGGCATTCCTCGGTCCCCAGCGTATGTATAAAATAAGATGTAAGATTTTAATTCTTGCTTAAAATTATAGAAAATTTAATCTAATTATATTAAAGACTATAATTATTCTATTATTTATTATTTATTTAAAATTTTATATTTTAATAATAAATTTGTAATTTTCTTATTGTAATCATGGCCATCTTTGTTGGATCAATTGTTTGATTGATTATCATGGACCACATTGATAAATATATTGCAATAATAACAACAACCACATACAAATGAAAATCAAAGAATCCATCCAAACAAAGACAAGATACAACTCTGTACAAAAAAGCCTTTAGTAAGCTCTATATGCATTGCAATTAAAGAAAACAAGACACAGCTACACACATACAAAAACAAAATAAAATAAAATAAATAAAATAAGTATAGCAAATTGGATAGCTTTTATCAATCCCAAATATCCATAACTAAAGCAATTGGTGGTTGTATTCAAAAAAGAATAGAAACTATCTTATTAAAATTATATATATAAATTTTGTTAACAACAAATATTCTTTTTCCTTTCTCTAGACTTAATGCGGCAATTACTAAAGCAATTGGTGGTTGTATTCAAAAAAGAATAGAAACTATCTTATTAAAATTATATACATAAATTTTGTTAACAACAAATATCCTTTTTTTCTTTCTCTAGATTTAACACTGCAATTACAAAAGCAATTGGTGGTTGTATTCAAAAAAGAATAGAAAATATCTTATTAAAATTATATACATAAATTTTCTTAATAACAAATATCTTTTTTTCTTTCTCTAGACTTAACACAACAATTGTATATATAAATAGAGGAGGGAAAATGGAAGCTCAAGCTTTGAGCTTGGTCCTAGTCTTCACCAAATGTTTCTAATTATATTACATCTTTTATTGTTTGCATTTAAGTGTATTCTATAAGAATACTCTTAGCACGTCCACTTATATCTATTACTATTATATTTTGCTTGGATCTTAATTTAGAGAGCTTCAATGTTGCACCATGCTCATATGTGATATAAACAATTAAGAAACTTATTATCATGAAATAAAGTACTAGCAGTCTGGAGTCATTATACATTGTGTATTAGTTGTTGATTAAAAAAATGTTGAATGAGAAGGCATCCAATAGAATGAATTTCCTTGAAAAAAATACGTTGTAGAAATAAATATTTACTATATCTTATAGTCTATCTATGAATTGCAATCTTTTAATCATTTCTATAATAAAATTTTGCTCTTTAGAAATATTTTTAATTATTTTAGAGAGTGGAGGAAGTTAATTATTAAATAGAGGCCTTGAATCTAGATTGAAGTATAAAAAAAGATGTCTATTCTAACCTTGTTCCAAATAAAGTACAAAAAAGAAGGGATTGTTGAGATTGAATTGCATCATGGCCCATTACTACACAAACTAAACAAGTCATTATTCTTCTAGCTAATTTGATTAGTTGAGAGATGATGTCCTATTGAATAGTAGTGCAATTCAATATGCTTAGACTTAGGATAGAAAATAAGATTTTTTGCAAGTTTAATGGTACTTATATTATTGCAATATAAATACATATCCATTTAATTTTTCATCTACATTCAACTAATAATATTATTTCTTTTTTAATTACATTCTTTAAGTTCTTGTTCTTATCATATTGACAAGAATATACTTACAATAATATTTTTTTGTCTTTTCTTGATTAAAAGTTAAGTATCTCTTTTTTCAATAAGACATAAGCATATTAGAAGTTTTAGATTATCGACTTCTAAATAAACATTGTTCTTAGAATTTTCTTTGTTCTTAAATCTTTTTTTCTATTTATCCTAAGTCATATTAATTTTTTTTATTATTATATTATTATAATAGAGCTTATTAAAATGAAAGACTTAATAGCACAAATGTAGAAACAAATAAAGAAGTTAATTCTTGCAAAGCATCAATTCAATTCACCACTACAAAGAACAATAAGATTAATTAGAAGTAAAGATATATAGATGATTGGTGCTACTTCAATATCTATACCAAATCATATTATTTTTTCTATAGAAAATATAGTTCAAGAGTCTCCATAAGTATTAGAAATTTTAAAAAAAATCTTGCCTAAGAAGTTTAATGGTATAAGATTAAAGTTTTAAGGATTTATCAATTAAGTAAAACTAGTGATTGAGCTTCAATCTCAAAGTTATCCAACTCTACAATCACAATACTAAATAATTTAAAGGCTTTGTTGGAAAAATTTTGATCCATGTATAAAGAAAATTATATAATTTGTATTGTAATCAATTAGATTTGAATTTTTTATTAAAAAAATTGTTGAATATTATTAAATGCTTCACAATTTTGGAAACTTATAACTAATATCTAATTCAATGATGGCGCACTTATCGATCAACTTTTGTATAGATTATAATATGAGATAAAGAAAATAATTTTATTATCTAAAGAATGCAATTACAAGATAAGGAGTATAATTGTGAAAGAAGACAATGTCTTGGATATTAAATTTATTAAGCTACAATAAAGACCATAGAGTTAGAAACTTGTATGATATCTAACAAAGTTCTTATTATATTTTTAGAACCTTCATCTTA